ATATATATATATATATATATAAAGGTTTGAAGAGGTCCATTGGTTCACATGCAATGCTTGCGGTGTTGTATATGAAAAGTGTGTTTTATACGGTTTAGCGTTTTATTTCATTTATTGTTTATGGTATTATGGTCATTATTTATCTGTTTTACAATTTTTGGCCTAAGACTTTGTTTATTTGTTTATTTTATTTTAGGGTAAACTGAATTCTAAATTATACCAGTTTTCTTATCTTTCACAATCAAAGAATAGGCTCAACCTTATCTCATAATCTTTTCCTCTTTCTTTTCTCTTTTCGTGTTATGTGATGCAAGGTTTATTAAATTAACACGTCTTACTTATTTATACTTTGAATGGAATATGAGACCCAAATATTTTAGAGAAAATTAGGTAGATGGCAATTTTTTAACTATCTTTTTTTAATAAATGGTCGAAATTTTTTATTTTTTAAATAAGTGGTTGAACTTTTTTATTTTAACAAAATTATCTTGCTTTTCAGTAGTCAATCAATGAATGGTTAATCAGTGATTGATCTATTCATTATTATAATTTACTAAAAATTTATGGTTAATAAACTTGTAATTTGTTGATTGAAATTAATTAATTACTAATTAATTTCAACTAATTATTAACTAATATTGATTAATAATGAAATATCATTGAGTTAACCAATGATAAACTTAAGTCAATCAGTGATTGATTGACCGCAAGTCAATCAGTGATTGACTACTAATTTAATCAGTCATTGACTATTTAGTTAATAAAAGAAACGGGCATTTTACTAATTTTACAAAATTTTAGGTATTTAAAAAAAATCCTTAAAAAAAAAGGTCAGTTGCCTCTATCTCAATAATTTGTTGCCTTATTTCGTGTTATAGAATAGAACACATAATGTTTATCAACTGAAAAAACAGAGACAAAAACAAAAATTAATCATTTCAAGATGAAGGATAATAACAAAGAGAAGAAATGTCATAAATGAAAGAGCGACTTCAATTATGTGTAGTTTATACACATAATAAATGTTGTATTGCAGCTTATCGTAATTACTGGTTCTATCCCTATAACGAAAAATACGTCTCTTTTACAGTCAAATTTCTAAGGTCCTCATTTTATTTTGATCATAGATTTTTATCCCTTTAGAATTTACATACAATACAAGCTTTTATAGGAATCCTATTTGTTGATACTCACACCAACACCTTTGGATTTCCAGGACCACTTTTGTTTTATGGAAACCCCACCTATCAATTCCAGATGAATCTTTCTACGTCTCGTTAATTATAATGAGGCTTAAAAGACGGCAAAAGTAAAAGATGAGAATATGCTTTACTTCGTTTTCCGAGTTTGAAAGATAACAAAAAGTAAACGATAAGAACATTCTCTCAAGTTTGTGATTCTCGTTCAACTAGTGTTATTTTCGTCACCATTTCTATCACTTGTCATTTCTTTTTCTCTTCTGATAAACTCGCAGTAAAAGCCCCCTTGATTCTTTTCTTAGCCACTTTTCCCCCCTAAATTTTCTGCAAAAAATATATCTTCTGTGGTCCAAAATCTGACAAAGATTTGAGCTCATCCAAAAGAGATATTTAACTGCTCTCTCTGTTTGCCGTCTTCAATCTCTCAATCCTGGTACAAACCAAGCTTGTTACAGAGAAGAAACGATCGTCAACAAAAATTTATTGCTGAGATGAGCAACTTTTGGAATGCTTACATGCATTTTTTATAACCTACCATTTGACATACATGGAATTACAGACCACAAAGCTTCCACCTCCAAGAACCGAACCAAAAACAGTCTCCCTTACCCCCAGTAGTTCCATTTTTTGAAGACAGAATTCACTGCATGCCAAGAGACTTACAACACAAACTTACCTACCTAATCTGTGAACACTAGAAGAAAGAAAACAAGGAAGATTGCCATAATAGCTTTAAAGTACAAAACACCTACTATCAACAGCCACGTGCATCTCTATATGGAATAACTTAATCAAGCCATGTCATTTTCCCTCCTCTCCGTCACCGGAGCCGTGCCCTGCAGCCGAGCCGCCCTGGCCATCACCACCTGCTGCCCCAGCCTCAGATGCATCCTGCTTGCTACCCCCGCGGATGTCATTTGGACCAGCGGTTGAAGTAGGGCCGCCACTGCCGCCAGCACCAACTGTAGTATCGGGATGATGCATGGGATGCATACCATTGTTGGTCCCGGTAGGTCTCATTGCCATCTGGGCTTGAATGGCAGCTTGATGTTGCTGATGTAGTTGCTGCTGTGGATCCTGCATCTGGTGGGGGTTATTGAACTGCAACGGCATCTTTGGGGGGAAAAGCCCCTGTTGCTGCATCATTGCTGCTGCCTGGGGATGTTGAGCGAAATATCCTGCCTGTTGCATTGCAGGATGCGGGGCCATCTGCAAGTATAAATGCATAAGGTAATCAGATGAAATGAATAACAAGACAGGATAGAAAAATTATGATTCTTGCTTACTATCAACCTGGGGAGGCATTGTTGGCGCCTGTGGTTGGGCGTCAGCAATGGCAGCCAGATACATCAGATTCTTCTGAAGTTGAGCCTGGTACCTAAATCATGACAGTTTCATCTCTGTAAATCTATTTGTTCTTTTTTTTTTTTTTTTTTTTTAAAAAGGAGCATGTGACGCACATTCAGACATATAGATAATATTGAAGAGAAGTAAATTTATGATCTATGCATATGTGCCTAAAGGCAACAACAGAATCATAGATAGGGAACTATACTAGTGACTTATCTAATTTTATTGTAGAAATCTTCAGGATCAATGATTGGACCATGCAAATGAGAAATACCTTTTCTTGGATAAAGGAAGAGATTATTCGATTCATTGCCGTATCGCTCGTAATATATATAATAACTCGGGCACCCATTTCAAATGCGTATCCTATTTTTGCACAGCAGAGTTATGAAAATCCACGAGAAGCCCTAGAGGATTGACATGATTTATCTCATACTTACAAAACCCAAGTTCCACCATTCTTACTGTAATATCTCAAATCTCAATTGCACAACTTATCATGATTATAACATAACATACGTCAAAGAGTTGTCAGGGAGTCATGTGAGACCAACACATTGAAATTAACAACCACAAATTAACATGAGGGTCATGATTTACCATCGAAACTCGACATTAGTGAGAAAATAATACAGAGTTTCTCAATGGACTCCTGACTGCATTGCTAAAAATAAGAAATAAAAAAGAAAAGAAAGGAGAGAGAATTCGAGGCATGTGCCTCGAGGCATGCCTCTGCCTCAATTCGATCTGCATTGAGGCACACACCTAGCCTGTCTCGATTATACAAAGCAACTTGGGTCTAAAATAGCCCTTTTAAACATTGCTCGGCCTGCCATACATAGAGACACTAAAGTATCAATGAAGAAAATAACTTTATAACTCATATTGATATTATAAGTCTTCGATGTAAATGGATCCATTCTAAACAAATACCATGTCACTATACCATAAACAGATAAACTAGTTTAGAAAATATACTGGAAACAATTAGACCCAGTGTACCAAACTCAAAGATTTGAAACATTTAACCCATCAAAGCAAACACACATAAGGCACTGAATGAGATAGAAGGAGGCGACATAAAACACTTACTGAGCACACTCAGCAAGTTTCCCAAGGTTTTGATTGTCCAATATTGCCAGAATTAACTTTTTGTTCTCATCAAGGTACTGCATCACGCCCAAAAAAGAAATATAAAGGATCAGATAAATATTCAAAAATTGCATATATAAACAGTTAACCTATAACACGGATCTAAAATAACCAGTTGAGAATCAAGGTGGATATACAAATACAAAAAAGACCCAAAATCTAAGCATATGAATATAAATTCAAATCTCATTAGAAAGATAAGACTTATTTATAATGAAATAACACTTCAATTCATTGACCCACTTAACATTTTCTGCTTAAATTCTTTATTTTCCAAAAACCCACCACTAAATAATCTTTATACCCTGCTTCTGTCACAGAACAAATACATCAAACTGCAAGGAATTCCTTTTTGAAACTCTTTACAAATTCCTCCAAGAAGGAATGTGGAAAGAACACCTAGACATAGAAACCGAAACAGGGGAAATAAAAATTGTTAAGAACTAAATGAGGATTTAAATAAATTTGAAGGGGTGTGCCCAAAAATGAATGAACGAACAAATGAGTATATACCAAAGCTAAAATTTTAATTACTCATCGAGGACCTGGGGAAAAACCTTTTCTTTTCTTTAAGCCGTGGGGGGAGCAGCCTAAGAGTATAATCCCCAGTTCCCCAAATAACGCCATGTTAACACGCAATAATGGACCTCAAAGAAAAAAACACAATCAACTTATTTGCAGCAAAGGGCAATTAGGAATCCGGAGACGGATCTTTAGCTTGGTGTTTCAAGCTGAAGCCCAAAATCTCTGGACCACTGAAACACTGATACCCGGAACGCATATATAACACATTAGGATGCAACATGTCACATATCCTTTACATTAACAGATAATATCATGTATCATAAGTTTCTGACAGAAATGATTTAATATTCAATCCTAAACTTCCCCATGACACACTCTTGCACGATATTAATTAAATAATCTGTTATGGATGGAAATGGCATTAAATCAATCTGTCATATTTCCTATAACTACCGACAATCTTTATCTACTTTTCTTTCTCAATTTGTTCGTCCCTACACAACCTCATCCAAACAATAACCTATAAGTTTCGTCCTATCTTGGCAAAACTGTCTCAAAAGAGAAACTTTTAAGTCAATGATCAAGTTCTCAGAGTTTACTCTAATGACTATGAAATTTCTTCCGTTTTCAGTCCCAAGTTAGGTTCTTACAGATCAAATGGCAAAACCCATTAAGGAAAAAGAAAAACCCACAAAAGAGAGAGAGAAAGAGAAAGGGAAAAAAAAAAAAAAACACACACACACACACACAAACACACAAACACACAAAACCTTAATACAATCATAAAAGCTCCAAAATATATATTGTTTGAAAATACAAAAAACCCAAATACCCAGAAAGAGAATACCTTCTGAATCTGCTCAGTAGTGATGTTAGTGGGCGGAAATGAAGGCATCACAGGGATCATCGGAGCTGGCTGCTGCATCTTTTTCTGTGGAGGATTGTGTTTTGGTTTTCCCTCTTTCTTTTGTCTTTTCTGGGGTTTTCAAAACCCTAACCCTAATTTATTTACCCAACAGAGAAAAACAAAAAACGGCTATCATTATATCAACACGAAAATTACCCAAAACCTTAAAAGGGGAAAAAACGAATTAAAAATGGCGGATGAAGACGAGAAGCAAAGAGAGAGAAAGCGAACCTGTGATGTTGAGATAGGTGCGAAGCGGAAAAGACGATATTCGAAGTGGTTTTTTAAGGAAACAGGGGTTATGATTTTAGATGTCGACGAGGTTTCTGGATTTTCAAGACAATAAAATAAAATAAAAGCATGCCATTATTATTATTATTATTATTATTATTATTATTATTATTATTTGAAGGAAAAGCATGCCATTATTTAGATAATAGAGATTTTTACAATAAGTTTTTTAAAAATAAATTATTGATGGTTTTTAATTTTTAACCGTTAAGATTTTAATTAGAAACTATTTATTTTAAGTATTTTTAAAATTTAAAGTGATTTTGATTAACTATTCGTGAGAAATATACATATGAGACGATCGTAATAAAATTATTGACTCTTTTTAATATTAAATAATTTTTAAATAAAAAATTAAATAGTTTTTTAGATAAATAATATAATAATTAATTACACAGTTTTTTTGATATAATTAATTACACAATTGATATTTTATTTAATGGCATAATTGACACGGTTAATTAGATGGAAATTGGGAGCTTTGATATAGGTCGGTAATGTAATATATCTAAGTTTACTTGAAAAAGCTCAAGCACACAAATTTTATTCCCGAAAAAAATTTCAGTGTCTTAAATTAGTTTTTTTATATACATAATACTGGATTGAACATTATACAATATTGTTTTGACATACGATTGGTCTAAACATGAGTGGCTTTAACAAAATTTTGTATCAAATATGCATGATTTTAAAAATATTGCGCCCAATCTAGACCTACAAGTTCAGGCAATCCTAGCCCAGTAGCTTGAAAAGGAATTTCAGGTTAGACCGGCTTCAAAGAGAAGAAAGTCAGTCAAACTCGGCCTTAAAAGCACGACGGGCCAGGGCCAAAGTCGGGTTAGCCCGAACATTTATAAGTTAAAATTAAAAAAATTAAAACTTAAAAAGGGACGAAAATATTTTCAGACATGTAACCTAAGCCCATCCCAACCTAGGGCTTGGGGCGTTTGCAGTTAGGAGTGTAAATCGGCCGGGTAGGGTAGGATTGAGCCGAAAAATTGAGCCTATCTGATCAGTGCGGGTTGAGAAAATTTTAGGCCGTGACACTCTCTTAAGTCTACAAACCCGTAACTTTTCGGGTGACCTCGGGTAGGGTCGGGTTACTCGGGTTGGTAAAAACCAATTTTAATCTATGACTTCATCAATTTTAATCAATTTTTAGTCAATTAATCTGTGCTTGTTACATAAGAAATCATTATCAAACAGAACATGTCTTTCCTTCAAGAGGGGATCTAAATGCAAGGTGAACAATTAAAACACTCACTTTGAAATCAAACACTTCCAATATAAATAAAGAATGTCCTAATTCAACAACTATGGCATACAAGTATTTTTTACACAAACCGTGAATCCAAAACATAAATAAGTTAACAGTTTAAAAGCATAAAGTTCATAAACTTATGAAAGTAAGAATTTGAAGTGTTGGACATTGTTTTACCTACTTTGAACATGTTCGGCCCGGTAGGGTTACTTCGGGTTCATGTAATCCCACCCCATGCCCCTACCCGCGCAGTGCGGGTTAGGCATAATTAAAACCGAAAATTAAATAAAAAATTAAAAACCCGCCCAATTTAAGAGACGTTTAGTTCATAGATTAGAATCATGTGATTAGAACCATGTTTGATTTACGTGTATTTTTTATGAGAGAAAATACTGTAGCGAACCATGAATCATGATTCAAATCACGGTTTGAATCCTCCAACCAAACGTCTCCTTAGTTTTAAAGTCTAACGGGTCAAGATTAGACTAGGCTAGCTTGTACCTTTATAAGAGTTTTTTTTCTTTCAAAAAAGGATATTTGGGCCTAGTGTATAGACCTGAACATGTCAAATATTTAAATGGAAATAGTAGAAAATATGCCAATATGAAAAGCTTAAGAAAGTATATAGGCTAACTTTTAGTTATAGAAATTAATAGGCCATAACTTGTCAAGTTATGGTTCATAACCAGATAAGTTATGGACAAACTTGTCAAGTTATGGTTCATAGTCAGACAAGTTATGGACAAAAATTGTGAATTATGGACAATAACTTGTCAAGTTATAGTTCATAACCAGACAAGTTATGGACAAAAATAGTAATTTAGCCTATTTATTAACTTATGTAAACTATTGGCCTATTAATTTTAATTCATCTCAAATCTTGACCTATTTCTTTTTTTCTCCCATATTTAAATGGACTGAGTCGAGTTAAGACCGAACCAATAATGATGGATTTCAGACTAGTCTAATCTAAAATTGCAATACTATTTGAAAAGTAAAAAGTTACAAGTGTAAAAATATATACATTATTTTCTTCGTGTTTTTTTTAAATAGTTTTATAATTTTCACTATATATGTATAAGAGAGTAGGGTTAGTTTGGATCAATTACGCCCTCATTTGGTTAACTGATTTAAAGTTTATTGATTTAACTTTTTAATTTTAACAGAAAAATTTAAATTGTGTAGTTTAAATTGTAGTTTGAGTTGACATTTGGATGTGCAGTTAAAGTTTTAATTCGAATAGAGAACAAAAAAGTCTGAATTGTAGTTTGTGTTTGGTAGATGTGAAAAGTAGAGAGACTCGATACCTTTTTATTGTTAAAAAATGGTTTGACTGATTGAACTTGAGGCGAAACTAAACTTAAATTAGACTATTTAACTCAGTTCAAATGAGAAATATAATTCAAACTATATGTTTATTAAACACCAATTCAAACTATACTACTATTCAAACTTTGAATTGAACTAAACCAATAAAACAAACGGGGCTACATTTTGCACACAATCCACGACCAATCTGCTATGGCTCGATTTTTACTAAACGTCAAGCAATACAAATTCATTGGTTATCGACATTATGTCAATTGAATTGGGTAATTGGAACTAATTTAATAACGTATTTGCAAGTTTTGAAGACCCGTAACTATTTCCATAGATGACAATAAAGTAACAAAATTTGTAAATGAAACTACTAACTATAAATGACAGTAAGATTTGAAAATGCTATTTGATAAAATGACAATAAATATTGAGACAACAAACGATATGTCGTGGGAAGAAACAACGAAAATATACCTCAACTTTCAACTTTGAAGTGAAATGAGATGTCGTTTTATGACAAGGACAATATACGTCTTAAATAATAAAATTTCGTTTGTACCCTCATATGATACACATAAATGTCGTTTTTATTGTGAAACGGCAATAAGTGTTCACATTAAAACACGATTGATGTCAATAATATTTTTAAACAAAAAGAATAATAAATTATAGTGTTTTTTTTTCTTTTACCATTTTTTACCTTGTATTTTAAGCCAAATGGGACGTGCTTCCGATACGATAGCAAATTTACGAAGTGTCACCAATACTTTGCCGCCGACTCGTGTTCAGGACCATGCCATCATTTTGAAGGAGGAGTTGTCCTCAGTTAATGTCTAGTTGTATCGTTACCCCTCCCTCTGTTAATTCTCTTTTTATACTATTAGTATCCTCTAACATCTTGCTAATAACCATTTCTTAATGAGTTCTCAAGACTAAAACTAACTACTAACAAACAAACTACTTATGTTGATAAACCCTATCATATTTATTTTATGATAACTTTAAATTTTGTAAGAATATTTACAAACTACTTATGTTGATAAACCCTATCATATTTATTTTATGATAACTTTAAATTTTGTAAGAATATTTTACATTAAGTGCAGAATTTCTGCACCGGTAATACGGAGGAGGGGACAAAGCTTTGTGCTTCCAATGCGATAAGAAATTTACGGTGTGTCACCAGTACCTTGTCACTGGCTCGTGTTCGCGACCATGCCATCATTTTAAAGGAGGGACGTCGTCAATTAATATCCAACCGTATCGTTATCCCTCCCTCTGTCAATTCCCCTTTTTGTACTATTAGTATCCTCTAGCATCTTGCTAATAGCCATTTCTTAATGAGTTTCCAAGACTAAAATTAACTACTAACAAATAAACTACTTATGTTGATAAACCCTATTATATTTATGTTGTGATAACTTTACATTTTGTAAGAATATTTTACATTATTTTCTCCTTACTGCTACTAAAATTTATTGAAAATTTAAACATTTTACATTTAATGTAACTATTTGTGTAAAACTTTTGTTATCATGTAATATAAATATGTGAAAATTAAAAATTAAGAAACTAAAATACAACCATGTTCAAAATCAAAGTAGTAGGATTATTTTACGGTAGGCTCTTTTACTATTAGAGTTTGTTTGTTTTTGTTTTTTTTAATATGATAGTGCTCGTTTTTTATTTTTAGATTAAATTAAAAAAATACGTAAAACAAATAGTTTTTATTTAAAATATAATGGTTGGAAACATAAATTACCGTTAGTTCAATAAAAACCAACCATTAACAATCGAATGTTTTTTCATTTTACCTTCCAAAAAAAAAATGTTTGTTTTTTTTCATTTTAGCCCACAGTAAATGGGGAGGGAAAAAAAAGAATAAAAGACAGACAAACTACTTGAAAAGAGTTTCGCAGCGACTGGAAAGTAATCTGTTGGTCGGTACAACTTCGGATTCTGGAACCAAAACAAAACTAAAAGCACAAGCAACAACCCATTTCGATTAATTACAAAAGAGATCTAAACAAAGACGACGAACTAACTTTCCAGTTCTCACAAAAAGCTGGCTTCAGATATCTGGAAACGTCTATTCCCGCGACGATCACGATCCAGAATCAGAAGGCCAATCATCCCCCAAATCCAAATTCACCCATTTCCATTTTCATTTCCAATGGAGATCAACCTGTTCAGGCTCTGCTCCGGCCTCAAAGTCCTTGGCTACTTCATGATCCTCCTCGTCGCCGCCATCATCGCCGTCTCCTACCACTCTGTCGTCGTCCTCGTCTGCGGGCCCCAGCTCCTCCGCGGCGGCCTCCGCTCCTTCTTCGCCTTCTCTGTCGTCATCGTTTTCCATGTTCTGGTATTTCTCAACATGTTGCTATAATTTGGTTATTTCTGACAAAATGGGCAACTGGGTTGTTCTGCAATTTGCATTTCAATTGTTCGGTAAAATGTTTGAATGAACTTTTGGGCGTTTTGTTTTCTAGGCGAGTGTTGGCTTAAGCTGTTTAATGTGCCGTTAGGACCGGGAATGTGATGAGTTCTTTTGATAACTGAAAAGGGTTTTCCTCTCTAATCCGAATGGTTTAAGAAAATAGGTGCTTTCATTAGTTTTGATTAGACTTGGAAAGAGCTCAAAGTGCTCGGTTTAGAACACGTTATTCTTGCGATTATTAGGTATTGTTAATATCTTACATATAGCTACCTTATTACTAGTTTGAATTCATCTGTTTCAATTTTCAAATCTGGCAATATCTTGATTTTAGGAGATTTTATAGTCTTGGACAACTTATGGTCATTTATACTTAATAGAGCCCGTTCATTGTGCTCCTTACTAGTGAATTCTTTCTCTTTTCCTAGTCTATTTTTAATGGCGATGAGATATATTTGGAAGACGTGAAGCTGACTTGAGACTTGAGCGATTCTTAAGCCAAACTTACTGGGCTTTCCGTTTTGCAGCTTATATTGTTATTGTGGAGTTACTTTATGGTAGTATTTAAAGACCCTGGTGCTGTCCCTGAGAATTGGAAACCTGTTGTGGATGAAGAAAATTTGGAGGCTGGTACTTCTACAACATGTTCGTATCATTTACCACCTGAGGGTTTGTCTTCAACTCAGCCTCTAGATGAACCGGAAAGAAGACCACCAATAGGATATTGTACTCGGTGCCAAAACGGAAAGCCACCACGCTGTCACCACTGTTCTGTTTGTATGAAAACTTTTATTTTTCTTTTTGGATATGAAATGTCCTATTTGCTCAGGCATTTCTCACATGCCTGTATAAATGTTTGTTTTTCAACCTGCAGTTGGCAATATGTTTTTTATACCTATGAGATTATATCTCCTTGCTGTTATGCTTATCTAGGCCAAAGATGCGTGCTTAAGATGGATCACCATTGCGTTTGGGTGGTGAATTGTGTAGGAGTGCGCAACTATAAGTTTTTTCTTCTTTTCCTGGTAATCTCATATATATATATATATTTTTTCCATCCATAAGCTAGATAGTTGAGGACTGCATCTAGATTTTTATTTTTTATCTTTAAGAAATTCTTGTCATGGCTGGGAAAACCCGTGTCTGTGGTCTGGAAGTTTTAAAATGTCATGACCTTATAATTGTGCAGAGTGACTGGATCTTGCTTCTTTGTGTTGTTTTTTTATTTTTTATTTTTTATTTTTATTTTTAACTCTTTTGTCTTGCTCCTTATCTTCCATTCTTCGGCTTAAAGCTTTATACATTCCTGGAGACGACGCTGGATACTTTAATTTTGCTGCCCCATTTTATCAATTTCTTTGGTGAAGCCAAGAATCGTTCCACTTCTCCTGGAAACCTTGCTATTGTTTTTATGGCTTTTGGTAAATAGTCCCCCTAGCTTGTATTTTGTCTTCACATATTTCAGCTCCACTTTTACATTCTTCGCAAGCTACTAAATGACTATATACATTGTTGCAGTTCTTAATTTGGCCTTTGCACTGAGTCTTCTTTGTTTCATTGTTATGCATGCGTCCCTTCTTTCGAGCAACACCACGTCCGTGGAGGTAACTGTTATTACCAATTAGTCAATTTGTACTTGCTGTTTTGGACTTCTTACATTTCCTTTGCCACACCTATGACCTGCTATATTAATTACATTAGATATCAGATAAAAAAATTTAAGGGTTGACAAGAACTTGGGCTATTATTCTTCACATCGTGTACTTTTTTTTTTTTTTTGCCGCCATCAAATGCATGTTGATTTGGTCATTGTTACCTAGAAATAACTCCACTCCACTAGTATTTTATTATTATTTGGTAGCCATATTATAAAGCATAGATCGGTTTTTTATGATTAAAGGCTTTTCTCTATGACAGATTTATAACCATCTAACAAATATGTTTTTAGGTTTATGAGAAGAAAAGAGTCGTCAGATGGCAATATGACCTTGGAAGGAAGAAGAACTTTGAACAGGTTTATTCACTTAAACAGATTTACACGCTCTATTCTATTACAAGGCCCATGCAGACCATTGTTTCTTTAAAATGTTAGGTGTCTTTGTGGTCTCTTCTTCATACAATACGCCTTTCTTGATAGGTTTTCGGCACAAAGAAGACGCTTTGGTTCTTCCCGTTGTTCTCAAAAGATGATTTAGACAACATACCGGCACTTCATGGCTTAGAGTTTCCAACGCGTGCTGATGTCGAGACTTGAGGCTTGCAAGCTTATAACAAATACAACTTTATGTTCCCTAATCGGCATTAATCAGTCTCACAAGGTGTGTCACAATGTGTTGATAAACCACTGCTTACATCACTGGTTGTGAAAAAGTGCACAAAAATATTTAGGTCCAAAACTTTTCTTATTTATTCATTTTAGTGGATTCATATAAACTGACAAGTTGTTTGTGTGTGCCAACTTGAAATTCAGCATCTTGACGCTCTTTGGCTGAAGAAAATTAAAGTAAGCTAACTTTATAGATATCTGGACTATTTATCCTATGTGATATTAACTTTGTTATGAAACATGGCAAGTTCTTTCTGGGAGGCCTCTGATTTTATGCCTAAACACTTCTTTATCATAATTTATTCAGGTTCCGGACCATGATTATAAAATTATTGATCGTTTATTATGAGGTTTGAAACTTTGCATTTTTGTGTAATTTTATAAACGAATTTGTACATGGCTTTGCTTGAAGGTAATAGCCCCTTGAGGCAAAAAAAAAAAAAAAAAAAAAGAAAAAAAAAGAAAAGAAAAACCTTGCTGTTGTAACCGTGGTCCTTCATGTGAAGAAAACCATTGGGTTGTGACTGGTCACTGGTTCCTTGTAAAAACATATCTAATTATTATTTGGGAGAAAATTCTGTGAGCCCCATTGTATTTCCAATTTACTCTGATTTGTTTAAGCAAGCAATGTTACTAACCGAAACTAAGGGCGCATTTGAAACTCATTCTAAAATGATTTTATTTTTTATATGAAAATAAAAATGAAAACGTTTTCAATTTCAGACAGAAATCATTTTTAAAAATACGTTTGGTAGTTTTATCAAGAAATTATTTTCAGTGTAAAAAAACTCATTAATGTCTTTCTTTCTCTCTTTGCTCGAGAGAGGAGAAAACGAAAATAAAAATTGAAAAACGACTTCAGTCGTTTTTCATTTCTCTCTCATTTTACACTAAATTTAAAAATCGTTTTTATTTCGGTTTTTTGTCTTTATTGCGCCAAACACAATTTTAAAAACGTTTTCATTTTTTTTTTTAAAAAACGTGAAAAATAAAAACGGGATCAATTTTAAATACGGCATAGTATTTTAATACTAAGAACATTGATATTTAGCAAATGGAGAAACAAAATTAAAGACTGCAAGATAACTGCCATCAAACCACTTCTTTAGAGAGATGCTACAATCATCATCAGTTGTGTTAATTACTGCAGGTTTGAGTTTAAGCATAAAGTGCAATGTAAAACCCCGTGTTGATTTTTTTTTTTTTTTTGGATAAGCAGGTGTGTTGATTTTATCCTACTTTGCAATATAATAGTCTATTTATGATTCCACAGGTCTTACAAATTAGAACGTGATTCGATTAGAAGCAAAGGTGATAATATAATTTGTTAGTTTAAAATCGATCCAAGTGTTACCCGTTTAGAAAAAATATCACTCAGATTAGTATTTTTTCACAACTATTACAAATAATTTGAGTGTTAATTTACTTCATTTATTTATTTATACTTGGTGAATTTTGATCGCTTATCATATTTTTTTTTTCTTTTATTTAAATTAAATTTGCTATATACTTAAAAAAAAAAATATGTACTTACATTTTATACGATTTTAATTTAAAAATTTAATAAATCAAGTCAATTCGAGATGAATTGTTGCCAATAGTGTCAACTACATAGGAAGAACTGGAGCCGCCTTGTCACTTAGATAAAAACTCCTTGAAGAATCAGGAAAAAGGCACCTAGTGCCTCTTTGTCGTTTTGTTCTTATGTTTTAAATTTCCTTCGATTATTCTATTTCTCTCTCTGTTCTGTCTTGTATCATACGCACGCACGCATGCATACAAGTGCGCAGTACCGTTGCTTCCATGCTTTGTTGAAAGGCCCGCAACCCAGTAGTTTATTGAGAAAATAATAATAATAATAATAATAATAATAATAATGAATAACTATGATTCCCAACTCTATTTGGAGCAGCACGTACTAGGGAAGGCAACATTCTTGCCCTGCCTAGTGCCTACCCTCCATGATACCATGAACATAACTCTACCTAATCTGTCTTTATTGTATAATATGTATATAAATAAATATATATATATATATATATATATTTATATATTGCTATAACTAGTCATATATGAAGGTTACGCAACTTCATCCCTATTACCATCTCCTCCTTTTCTGCGTTTTAAACTCGTAGTAGGCAACAGAGCATGAAAATGACTTTGATCTTTACACAAGATCATAAAATAAGATATATTAAAGTCAGGAATTCAGATATGCTGTCCCATTAACTATTTCCCTGACTGTCTTTTCTATATATAAATATAACAACTTGACTGCATAAATACGAACTAAATACATGAAACACTTGACAATTAAATGAGACGACAGATGCGAACATAAGAAGTGAAGCTTCACAGCATGCATTGGCAAGGTAATCAATCACTAATCATGGTCAAAATGTATGTTAGCCTGGCCTAGCTAGCTAGTGGCATACATTCATTGACCAATCGCTCACATTCATTTTTCTTTAATTAGTTGCCGACAAACTAAATCACACAGATGATGATAGCTAATACTAAATACTGCCTCCATGGCTAATTAAAAATTGATCACAACATGATTCGGTAATAATTAACTACCAAAACATAAAACAGCAATCACCTATTATTGTGTCTCCTTTTGATCATCTTTCCGGGTCAGGAATCGAGTCTTTAAGTGAAGGAACAAATTGAGTTTCCCTTGAGATGATCATCATGTCTTGATCAATATTGGTGATATTGAGGGTACACGAATCGGAGAACACAAGAGAGAACCAAACAATGGCTGGTGTGACAAGAAGGACAAGACCAAAAGGCACCATCCAGAGTTGTCTATTGTCAGGATGATATTCATAACGCCACCAAGTTATTGTCAAACCACCTGCCAAGCTCACCAAAAGCGAGACAAACAAAAATATGATTTTCTTGATAAAGGTGATCTTGTATTGGAATTCCTTGTCACTTCCAATAATATCTGTCTTCTCCTTGTTTGGTGATCCCATCAAAAATCAAAATCAAACCCAAAACTGAATTCCCGGTATTTTCCTGTAATTTATAGCAGGACAAGAAAAATATTGAAGAAAAAAAACAAAAACCCTGATCTAATTATGCTAAATTAAGCGGTAATAAAGGAAACATACCCGGTCAGATTAAACACAAGTTGTCGTTTGTTGAAGAAGAAAGAAAGAAAAGATAGAGCTGAAGATATAGAGATAATTAGTTTATCGGAGGAGGGACAAGGAAACGAAGTATAAGGTCATGAGTATTAATGTTGAGAGGCCTTTGAGAAGGGGCTTTATATATTTCTATTTTGTAGTCATACAAGTAATTCTGATATACACACATATACATACATATATATATATATATATATATATATACATATATATATATATATGCCTTATCAAAGTTGTTATTTGTGAAAGGGGCAAAATATAAATTAACCAGAAACTGATTTGCGTCCAAGGATATAACACTAGACACTGGGGACGCTATCTGGGGTAGATTCGATTTGTTTTATTATTACATACAGGTGGTTTGTTTCTTACGATCCATTAAATAATTGGCTTGAATCTTTTATATAAAATTCTTGGGGTGATGATTGGTTTTTTTTTTTTTTAATTAAAAGAAAGTCTCTAATATATCTTTTTGGACAGTGTAACGTAGTTGGCAATGAAAGTTGGACCGCTAATTATTTGCCCTTGAGCCGGGTTTAATTAAAAGTTTAATTAACTAACTTGGTCAGTTTAGAATTAGACTAGCTTTGCTCTTAGGATAGGATTACTGAGGGAGTACTTCATCTCTAGCTAATAGGACACTTTTCCCTTTTGAGGTGCAAAACTTATCCACTTACCATCAAACGGAGAGATAATTTGTAAACCTACTTAAAAAAAGAGAGATTATTGTAACATTATTAGATTATACAATCTTATCATAATCTTCGAAGTCGAAAACTTACATGTTTTGAGAGTTTCCCTCTTAGGTTTAGAAAAAACAAACTATTAAAAAGTCTCTATTTTTAACTGTCACATCTATATTAAAAATTATTTTTTATGTATATTTTTTTATTCTGATATGATTTTGATCAAATCTAACGGTCAAAAATTGACCCTACCAGTAGAGAGGTCTTACAAGAGAAACTTTCTTTTTATATCACACTATGCGATTTTTTTCCAAGTCTTGTAATAGTGTGATATAAAAGAAAAAATTATTTTTTTTATTTTTGATAGTTTTTAAGTCTTTTTATATCACATCAGAAATTATCTCTTGTGGAAAAGAAAAAATTATTCTTGACGTACGTAAGAGATATGGCCATTTAGGTCAGTTTTGATATTGATGGAAGTTTTATAATTTCTGATGGTCAACGTGAAGATTGATCTTCTTTTTTTTATTTATTATTTATTATTTTTATTTTTAAATTGCGAAGGCCGCTTTCTCCACCATTCTATGTGTAGATTTCCAGTCGCCCATTGCCAAGACGGGAGGTTTTGTCTTGGGATGCAACTGGGTCTTCTACTTTACTCATATCCAAGTTCTAATTGGTGATACTCTGTTCAAACCCGTCCATATGTACACCTGTTTTTGAGCATAAAAATACATACATATACATGCATATAATATATATATATATATATATATATACCTATCTGTGTAACGTCTTTTATTTCATAATATCATCATGATTGTGATATAAAAGGTTACTATTTTACAAATAGTATTGAGCTAATTTATCTCTAACCCCACTATTGTCTCTAACTTTTAAAACATCTCATAACTAGAGATGAAAATTCAGATCGCCCACTGAGCCTGAATTGAAATTTCGAGAAGGGCCGACCATAAAACCCGAACAACTTAGGGCCGGTCCGGCCAGCACGAGATTTTATAAAATATTCTTTAAAAAAAAAATTTAAAAAGAGGGTGTTTGGACCCAGCCGGGTCAGCTCAATAAACTTTTGAGCTCAAAATTTTGACCAGACCCGAACTAACAATAACGGGTCTCAAGCCGGCCCATTTCGTCTAACCAAAACTTACAGTTCTACTCATAATTTAAATCTTTTAGTTTGTTTCAATCTTAAATCTTTTGGTGGTTGGATATTAAAAATAAGGCAAAATGGATGATGTTCGATAAGCAGTCTTATTTTTCGTCACCATCACATCCATATTAAGTGTTCCATCAATAGAGTGTAGTTTACTGTCAACAACACATGTATATTTCGTCATCTTTTTAACAATCAACTAAATTAGAAGAGTTAAAACTGAAACAAATTGATAGATCAGAATAAGTTTGGAATGTTTTAAATATTAAAGATCAAGATTTGGGGTAAAATTCGAAAATCCATTCGTATTTTATAAGATTAACCTTAACATAAAATTTTAAATAGTTATACATGATATAGTGCCTCTAACTCAACCAAGTGGAGCGAGTCACAATTCCCATATACATTCATACATACATTTTTTTTTTTACCAATAAAATAAAGTAGCATTAACTACCATAATGATATCACATATGATGATGAAGGTTGTCTACTACTACTATTACTATTGTTATTCTTATAAATAGAGATGTAAAAGTAGTTTTTTTAAGAAAAAAAGATTGTATTTATTTCGAAAGAAAACATCTTTCAGTACATCAAATACAAAAGTTGGTGGAAGATCTTCCACTACACTTTAATCTTCTAGCCTAAGACCATGTTTAGCAAAATCAAAGGAATGAAGAGGTGTTTGGAATTGATTCCGTTTTTATTTTTTACGTTTTTCGAGAAAAAAAATGAAAACGTTTTCAAAACGGCGTTTGGCGCAATAAAGACAAAAAATGAAAATAAAAACGATTTTTTGGTTTAGTGTAAAATGAGAGAGAAATGAAAAACGACTTTTAGTCGTTTTTCATATTTTGTTTTTGTTTTCTCCTCTCTGGAGCAGAGAGAGAGAGAGAAAAAGAAACATTAATGAGTTTTTTTTACACTGAAAGTAATCTCTTGATAAAACTATCAAACGCGTTTTTAAAAATAACTTCTGTTTGAGATTGAAAACGTTTTCATTTTCATTTTCATACAAAAAATAAAATTATTTTAGAACGAGTTCTAAACGCGTCCTTAATATCAGATAAAAGATTTCCAAACTAAGTAAACATGGAATAGTAGGAATGAAGAGCCTGAATTATTTCTAAAGGCATCACTCTTTATGAAATTAAGTGGCAAGCTAACATCTATAGCTTAAATGAGTCTGTTACTTATAGTAGTTAGTTTAGTTTTGATAGAACTGAACAATGGATCCGTACTCCCTTTTGTTGACAAATTAACTGATTAGCCTCCGGTTAGTCCCTCAAGAATTAATTGAGAAGTGCACGAAGGGACATGACAAATTTTCCTTGTGGCCCGATTATGTACCATATTGTTTTGTTCATCATTTCAAATGGACCAAAGCAACAGATAAAATGTTTGAAGCTTTCCTTGTTGTAAACATCATCAACATGGTGGACCAGATCACGGAAAGACATATTTGAGTCTTTCAAATGTTAAAAAGTAAAAGATCAGCAACATCCCAAACTAGTGCACAAAATTTGCACCAAATAAGGATGTCCTTGACTGTTTCTTTGAAAAGTAATTTCTTCCAATAATTACTTTTCAAAGAAGAAGTTGAGGTTAAAGGCTGGTCTTCCATGGAGGTAGCAACTCAGTAAGTCGATTTAACTGTAAAAGTGCCCTTTTGATGATTATGCCAAATCAATGGGTGTGTTTGGAACTCGTTCTAAAATGATTTTATTTTTTGTATGAAAATAGAAATGAAAACGTTTTCAATCTTAGACAGAAATCATTTTTAAAAATGGATTTGGTAGTTTTATAAGAGATTATTTTCAGTATAAAAAAATCCATTAATGTCTCTCTCTCTCCCTCTACTCGAGAGAGGAGAAAACGGAAACAAAAAATGAAAAACGACCAAAAGTCATTTTTCATTTCTCTCACATTTTACACTAAACCAAAAAATCGTTTCATTTCTGTTTTTTATCTTTAATTGTGTCAAACGCTGTTTCTCTTCTATTTTCATTTTTCTTTCTCGAAAAACGTGAAAAACAAAAATAAAAATAAAAACAAAAACAACTCTAAACGCAACAAATTTATCCACATAAGCAAAATGACTACGATGGACAGAAAAAATACAACCAATATCTTCTTTATGAGAATATTGATTGAGCTTCTCAATATTCCAAATCCTCGAGGGTAAATATAACTATAACATATGTATTTTAAGTTCATTCCAAAAGCATACGATTTATTTTGAACCTCATCAAATATATTACTAAATCATTTAAAATATATATGCAACAAATTCATACCCGGTAACTTTGATTAATTTAATGATAAAAATACCCTAAAAACAAAAAATAAAAATAACCATTTTTAAAATACACTTTGTTATACGAAATTTTTTTTGACAATGTGTGATTTTAGATTTCTTTTTCATTTTTCATTTTCGTTTTTCTCTCGCCCTTCAAGAATATTTTTAATCATTTCAGTAGTCAAAATTGAACATTGACTAGTTAAAGCTTTAAATTTGATACACACTTATAATGTTCAAATATATGTTTAATAAGATTCAAAATAGACAGTATACTTAGGAAATTGTCCTTACAAGAGTAAAATTCGTAAACATTATTTTCTTTTAACTTGCGTGCTAGTAAGATAGTGTCGTCATCTAGACCCATTGTCGTTTGAATAAACGACATATCACATCATGCAGGTGCTTTCCTTCAATGATAATTAATAAGATATAGCTGTCCCTCCATCCTTCAATGTCTTTCATTTAACGGCGTCATTTATTGGGATTTAAATCGTTTTCCAAACACGATCGTAGTGTTCTTAAAAGTAATTATCAAAATAATGAAAAATTAGTTAAAAGATATTTTAAAATTTTTTAAATGACGTGATACAATCTGATTAATAGATACTATTTTAGAACTCGAAATTGAATCCTATGATTTGAATCTTATCCAGAAACAAAATAATACCAAGCATCGCTTTTTTTTTTTTAATAAGCATATTTGGCTATAATAAAATACCATGTTCAGGAAATTCCCATATTTAACCTAAAATTACTCCAAAACGATCAGTTCTAACTTCTAAGAAGACTTCTCAAAAGTAATCTGAAATGGGTCCTAACTCCTAAGCCATACAACTGAATCACTCACTACACAATTATTTGTCGTAGGAACATTCTCTTCCACTCAGAATACATGGACAAAGTTTTCCACCATTTCACGTCAATGCCACTCCTACTTAGCGGATAACCACTACATCACCATGCGTGTATCCAGGCAAAAAATGAAAAATAGGAGTTACATTTCTTTTTCTACGAATAAATATTGAGAATATAAATACTGAACGACGACCTAGTCAATAGTTAAATCATAAACATCAAATACGAACCATGGAATATCTCAAAAAAAAAAAAAAAAAGTACGCATGCGGAAGAAATAAATAAAACCACAGAAACAATATGCTGAGGAAAATAAAAAAATAAATGAAATGAAATGAATCATGAAGGACAATCATTTTTGGACGTTCTCAATTATTGTGTCCTACCTCAGCTTTGAGCCCACATCAATGGGCCGTTTTTCCTCTCTAAAATTACAAATCTAACCACGCATGTAGTTACAAGACTGCCACCAAGCTGTTGTTAAATTTACTTGTTTTTGTTTGTTTGACTCCATTGCCCTTATAGATAATGTTTATTCGGATTTTACTTTATTTGAGAGCAAGACGTGTTTGAAACTTAGAGAATATTTGGTACTTAGATTTGTTCTCTGATTCGAATTATAGTTCGTGATTCGGTACAGTATTTTCTCTCACAAAAAATATACGTAAATCGAAAATAATTCTAATCACATGGTTCTAATCCATGAACCAAACGTCTCCTTATTTTTCGCAAAAAAAAAAGAAGATGACATATTTGAAGTTATAAGGTTCATGATGAAATCACCAAATTGTAGCCCAAAAATAACAATTTCTGCTCTTTGCATTTGAAGCCTATTAATCTCTTTTAAGAATTAGGTCTATTGTTGTCAAAGCAAACAATATGTACTTTTTTTTTTCTCATTTAAAGTTTAATATATCCTTTTTTTATGATACAATACAGGAGCTTGTGCTCTCGCAAAATTCAAGCCCCATCTCACCATACTCTATGTCGTTTGATCTGAACTGTCAAATTTATAATTCAAGAATTAGTTCAATGCCTAAAATTAAATGAAAGTGTCAGTGTACCTTAATTGAGTTGGTTGGACGCTCGTTTATCTTGTAAGAAGTCTTAGGTTCGAAACTCCATCTGCTGGTCTAATTGCCTTCAAGATATTGGTGCGCTGCCAAAAGGAAGTACTTCATCTGGATATATAAAGGGCAATTCCATATTTTCAAAGAAAAAACGAAGAGGTGGAGAGGTATGCCTTTTTGGTCGATTAACAAACACGCAAGAAAAAAAAAATTAAAAAAAAATAAACAAGCAAAAATGAAAATAATTTGATGAGTGGTAACAAATAAGGCCCCGTTCATTTCGCCGATTCGAGTTTAGAATTCGAGTTTTGCTACACTAAAAAGCTCTCAGAAACAGTCACATCTAACTTTTTTACTACAGTAAAAAGCTCTCACATAACGTCACATCTCAACTCGAATTAAAAACTCAAATTAACGAACTAAACGGTAAGTCTGTATTTTTCTTTTTCTCAAGTCTAATCTCTACCTTTTTTGTATTATATATATATATATATATATTATATAACATGACGTTAAACTCGCGTCTAAACTTAAACCTCATACCACCCTACTCAATGTCGTTGGATCAGGTGGTCAATGGCGCCTAGTCTACACTTCCAAGAATTGGCATGTTAATGTCATCACAGTTATCGTTTGTATATATATTTATATATATATATATATATTGATAAATTACAATTGTTGTTAATACTAGGTAATCCAACGTCCAATGTTAAAAGAAAGTACTTATCTTGAAATGTGAAGGGCAATTATGTATTTTTACATAAAAATACAAGGGAATGGAAAGGAATGTCGTTTTGGTCAATTAACAAACACACTTTAAAAAATAATAATAAATAATAAATAAAAGAAGCAAAAATGATAACAATAGTTGAATGGTGGCGAGCAATCCACATGCGAGGCACAGAATTTGTGCAGAAAGCCTATAGAGAGAGAGAAGGGATCGCAGAAAGAAAGAAAAACGGATAGGGTCGTTTTTAGGGACCCGCACCATTCTCGGGGCCCCACACGGTCTTTACACTGAAAAGCTAAAATCCAAAACCAAAACCAACGAACCCCATCATTCTCGTTCATCTTTCATAATTCATCTTCATCTTTTCCTCTTCAATCTTCCCTCTTAAATACCTCTCTCTCTCTCTCTCTCTCTCTCTCTCTCTCTCTCTTCAACAACACAAACCAAATCTCACACATCTTTCGTCCGCCAACACAGACTACAGCACTTTTTTTTTTGGGTGTCGTTTTTTAAGAAGAAGAGAATGAACGAGAAGACGAGGAACACGCCCACGCGCATGCGCATGTGCGTGGGGAAGTACGAACTGGGAAGGACCCTGGGCGAGGGAAGCTTCGGGAAAGTTAAGTTCGCGAAGAACGTCGACACCGGCGATTTCGTCGCCATCAAGATCCTCGACCGCGATCAAGTCCTCCGCCACAAAATGGTCGAACAGGTCGGTTGTTAATTTATAAACATTCTGTTTCTCAAAAATTCGAATCACAATTCAACCTTTTTATTATAATATTTTTTTTCCCTTCCCTGTTTTATTAAGGTCTCCGAGAGACTCATAAAAAGAAAAATAAAATCATGGTTGTGAATGAAGAAGCTCAATTATTGGTGTTTGGTATCAATCATTACGTTTCGGAAAACTATGTAACCGACATATGATGCGTTACATACAATTATTGGTGCCACGTGGTTTTTATTTATTTTTTTGTGGCTATGATTTTGTTAGTAGTAGTTAAGAACTGATTGGATTAAATTGGAAGTGATTACAAGCTGATCAAATTTGTAATTTCATTCCACGTTGAGATTTTTTTTTTTTTTTTGTTCAAATGCTTCTTGAGTGGGAAAACACATGATAAATAAATGAGTGTGGGATATGTTTTTGGTGGAAATGAATGTGGGATTTACAAGTGGATTTAACTAATCTATGTGTTTGTTTATTCTATTTTTTAATGTTACATTTTTCTTTGGAAGATTTTTAATATTATATTAGAAGATGCCGCAATCTCTTTCATAGTTTAGGAACATTTTTATATATTATGGTCTCATTCGCTTCACGAATTCAAATTTTTAATTTAAGTTGAGATGTGACATTTTCTGAGAGTTTTTAATTATAGCAGAAAAAGTTAAATATAATATTTTCTAAAAGGTTTTAACTGTAAAAATTTAAAACTGAAAACTTGAATTGCTGAAACGAACGAGGCCTATATATCAAAAGATGCATCGATCTCTTACATAGTTCATGCTAATATTATTTTAATAAACTTACTCTAAACTCTAGAGAGCATGTCAAATGTCAACATAAATGTTCAATTTTTTTTTTTTAAATTTTCTTTATTATACTTATGTATGGGACTAAATGAATAGTATTTCTTTTTTCTTTTTAAAGGAACAATATTTCACTTGTATTTAAATATTTGGTTATGCTGTATAGCAAAATGATATGGAATTGATGATTTCTTTTTGTTTGATTCTTACTATTGGCAGATCAAGCGAGAAATATCAACAATGAAGCTGATCAAACACCCAAATGTTCTAAAACTTTTTGAGGTACCTTATGCAGCCACATAGATTTTAATCAGTCGCTTGCTAGATATCCTTGCTAGTGCAATGAAACATTCTTAAACATATTGGCATGTAATGCTACAAGTTAACAAAAAGTTCCAATCTTTATTTCTGAATTCACATTTTTCTTCTGTGCTCATACATAGGTTATGGCAAGCAGAACAAAAATTTATATCGTTCTCGAGTTTGTGGATGGCGGCGAGCTATTTGACAAAATAGTAAGTTTGTTTCTGTTTGATTGGCATTTACCGTACTTTTCTTGATGCATTTCCATTATCAAGTTCACTGATATGCTGTTTGAAATTTTTTAGGCTAAACATGGGAGGCTAAAAGAGGATGAAGCCAGAAGTTACTTCCAACAGCTGATTAATGCCGTCGATTACTGCCACAGCCGAGGCGTTTTTCATAGAGATTTGAAGGTCCATCATTCTTGACTTTTCTTTAGCTCATAGACTAATGGGTTATATCACAAATGAAATTGATTGTGATAATGATGTGCCATTAACATATTGCACTTCATCTTTTGCAGCCTGAGAATCTTCTTCTAGACTCATATGGTGCTCTCAAAGTTTCAGACTTTGGATTGAGTGCGATTTCTCAGCAAGCCAAGGTGAGTTTAGCATAATTATTCAGATTCACGACTAGTAATTATTTTCAATCTTCAGATAAATTTCTAATAGTTGTTTAGATTGTTAACTGGACTCAGTAAGCTCAGAAAATGTCTAATTAAGGTGTTCAACCGTTAATTCTGCTTGTGTTGGCGCTGTGAACTTTTATATGCTTTATACATCAATGATGGAAATTGTATTGCTTCTTCAGAGGATTGAAGGTATGAGGCATTATACATAGAGATGCCTTATTTAGATTCTTGTCTTTGCAGGAGGATGGACTGCTTCATACTGCCTGTGGGACCCCAAATTATGTCGCTCCTGAGGTATCTAGGACAAGTTGATCAAAAGTGGTGGTTTTCTTTTGTTGGTTTACAAAATGTATGCATTTCTCACATGTAGTAGTTTCGTGTCAGGTGCTTACCAGCAAAGGTTATGATGGCACATCATCCGATGTTTGGTCTTGCGGAGTAATTCTGTTTGTACTTATGGCTGGTTACTTGCCTTTTGATGAAGCAAATCTCGTGGCTTTGTATAAAAAAGTAAGCACTTTCAGAAATTTCTTCTACTGTTGATAACTTTATATGAGAGGCTGTTGGTTGACACATTAATGGATGTCAAAATCAGATTTGCAAGGCTGAATTCGCATGTCCACCGTGGTTTTCATCTGGTGCAAGGAAATTAATAAAGTGTATCCTTGATCCGAACCCTCTTACAGTGAGTTCCTAACTCAATGGTACTTTGAACTTTTCTTAATACTATCAGTTTCATCAAGTGTATTCTTGGAAATTAGTTTCAGCATAATGATTAGATGAGCAAGGGAAAGTCTAATCCTGTATTGGTGATTTTACATCCTAATGATTCTTTTTTGTTATTGATTAATAAGCGCCTCTTTTCGCAGAGAATAACAATTTCTGAAATCTTGAAAGATGAATGGTTCAAGAAAGGCTACCAGCCGCCGCGGTTTGAAAAGGAAGAGGATGTAAATCTTGATGATGTAGATGCTGTTTTCAATGACTCAAAGGTGATAACTTTTAGTCATATGCCGTTTTATTTCTCTTGATTACAAAGTCGTGTTATTTCCATGTAGAATTATGTCACACAAGACATCCTATACTTATTAGAGAGACGTGTTTGTAAAGTTGTATACAAGTATAATGTATACTTGAATGTATGCATGTTACATATGTTAGTATATATGGTTACAGAGCAATATCTTCCCTGAGTTAATTTATTGATTTGCTAATTTTGCAGGATCGCTTGGTAACAGAAAAGAAAGAGAAACCTGTATCAATGAATGCTTTTGAGCTTATTTCTAGGTCTCAGAGTTTCAATCTGGAGAATCTCTTTGAGAAACAGGGGGTATGTATCTTAAAGAATTCTTTCGTTTTTCAATCATCCATGTTTCAACGTAGGATTCTTGTGCGCGATCTAGATATTTTGTTCTGATCTCTAGCCACATGAAAAATATATGGACTTTGTTATTGTCATTCTCATAATCGCCACGTACCTCTTTATCTTTAAATCACATCCCACAAAGATTTCAATAATCAGATACAATACAGAAAAAAAAAAAAATATATATATATATATGAAGGAACGGGTTAATGACTTTCCATCTAGTTATGGTGCTTATATTATTGGCTGATAATTTTTGTCCTCTGACAATCTTGTATTTTCTATCACAGGGACTTGTGAAGAGAGAAACCCGTTTCACTTCTCAGCGCCCTGCAAATGAAATAATGGACAAAATTGAGGAAGCTGCAAAGCCTTTGGGATTTAATGTTCGCAAGCAGAACTACAAGGTAATCTTATCTTTTTCCCACTTTTGTTTTAATCGTTTAATCTCCATGATTAGTCATATAAGCAAGCTAATTAATCTCGTTTTAACATTTTTTTAATCACACCCTCTATGCTCTATGCTGCAGATGAAGTTGAAAGGCGATAAAACAGGAAGAAAGGGGCATCTGTCCGTAGCTACTGAGGTTCGTCGATTCGTCTCATTTAATATTCTTTTGCAATAAAAAAGCTTCTGAAAGCTATACAAGTTCTAATGACTTCCAATGATATTTGCTGTATCACAAACTGTGTGTAATTAGTAGGTGCTTTTCAACTCCAGGTATTCGAGGTGGCGCCCTCCTTGCACATGGTAGAGCTTCGGAAAACTGGGGGTGATACACTCGAGTTTCACAAGGTATGTTGTTACCATTTTGTTCTGAATTTGGTAGACAAGAACAAAGAAATTCTAGTTTACTCCGCTCAACTAAATCACTAGTTGGGTTGGTAATAAACATAATAAATAAACAAAAGCCACAAATGCACAAAGTGTCTTACTCTTTCCTCTGCTTTTCATCCAAACCATATGAAACACTAAAATTGGTCATTTTGAAGGCCAAAACATTCATTGACATGGTATCCCCGTTTACTTGCCATAATATTGCAGTTCTATAAGAGCTTCTCATCGGGTTTAAAAGATGTGATGTGGAAACCTGAAGAAAGTTCAGAAGAAGTTAGGTAAATCTCTCTCTCTCTCTCACACGCACTCTCCCGCGCACAACAGATATAGTTTAGATTGGATTGAATTGGATTATGAGCATAAATAGGATGTGATTGGATGTCACACAATAGATGTATCCGGATTGGATTGAATTGGATTTTGTGCTCAAATAGGATTTGTAACATTGGAATCCAATACAGCATAGGATTGAATTGGACGTAATGAAAATAATCAGATTGGAATTGGATGCTCACTTCTACAAACGGATTTGGTTGACTTTTGACTTTGGGTGCAGGTGGTAGAGGAACCAATCCCTTTGGGGTTCAATTCACTAGTACTTCAATGATGGTTGTGGATGGCTACGCGCACCAGTACATCACAAGTACACAACCGTATGATGGGAATCCACTCTTCTAAGATATGGAAGCTCGGAACAAGTCAACTTGTGTAGTTAGACTGCAGTTGGACTTGGACCATATGAAGACCTCATAATTGAGCGAGGCTTTGGTTCTTTTCCCTCAATAATTTTTTTTTTTTTTTTTTTTTTTTTTTTTTTTGAAATGAAATGAATCCAATTATTGTTATTGTTTCTACCCCCATAGGTTACTGCGGGGATTTCCTTGTATGACTATTTATTGGAAGAACATTCATTCATTCTCTTCTTATCATCATCATCATCATCATTATTATTCCTTGTGATTTCAAAGAGAGCTCTCTAGCTAATACAATTTTGATTGTTAAGGGACATATCCTAAACAAAATCTTGAAGTCGTGCTCTCTGTTCTGCCATATTTTTTCATTTTTTCTGTGTGAATTCTTTTCATATGTTTTGAGTCACGGCTCAACCTTTTTACTATAATGTTTATTCACAAAAATTTAATTCAAATCTTTCTTGGGGAAGAAAAAACACTCCCAAATCACAAACATCGAAATTTGCTAGGAAGTTGGGTTTGGGGGAAAACTTGTTTACTACTTGCATGTTGAAAACAAAGTATATTTTGATTTTTGAAATGCAACCCAAAACATGTTGAATGAAAGCTATAGTAGTTTCTCTAAAGTCTTGCATAATGCATCCGAGAATCACGAGGAAGTTTAATTATTTTTCTTTGATTCAAGATTGAGTTTGGGGGCAAACTTGCTTGCTTGTTGCTTGTGAAATAATACATAATGGAGACACACAATCGATTTCGTACTATTATGTTTATGTGTCTTGACCCTAAAGAAGTAAACTTCATCTTCACAGAACTACACATTGCAACAAAACAAACCAAAAACAGCCGTGTCCCTTACGAAACGAACATATATAATGCCACCATGAGTAATAGACCTCTAATAATTTGAATTTAGAAAACCATTTCATATTTGTGAAAATGTGAAACCATTGCCGTTGAACAAAACTTTTAGGACCACAATGTCACACCCACTTGGTATAATTGAATGAGTAGTTTCTGGTTAGAAAGCGATAGTTGGGAGTCACACGTTGTTCTTCTATTTTTCCTTTTCTTTTTCTTTTCTTCTTCCATGATTAACTCGGGGAAAAGAAATAAAAGTGAGATAAGGTACTTGGAAATTGTCTCATAAAAACAAGACGGGCAATCTAGGCCTTATATAGATACATTGTGCCTGGCTAGTACGGTGATAATACGACTTGCCCTACATATTATTCCAAAAATAAAATGCTTCAAAACTAAGAACTTTCTTTTTTCAAAAAGAAACGAAAACTCATGTGGTAGCAATTGTTATTTTATTTTACCGGTGAGAATTGTTGTTTTGACCATTAGATTAGCTTTTTAGCGATAAAATAAATCTCTGAGTATGGATATTAGAAACTTACAAACTCATAGATCAGCCCAACAAAAAAATGTTTCAACAAATAAAATAATAGTTCGTACCGGTAGGGCCAAACACCAGTTTATACTATATAAGATTCAAAAAAACTACTTTGAGAGTTTCTCTGGTAGGACTAAAAAAATAAACTACCAGTAGTTCTTTATTTCTCAGCCGTTAGACATGTGTTAAAAACTGTTTAGTCTGCACGTTTTTTTTTTAATTTAATGTGATTTTAACTTAATTTAACGATTAGAAACTAACACGCTGATAAGGAGACATTCCAGAGAAAGTTTCTTTTTCTTTTTTCCTAATTTGATTCTTTTGCTAAGAGTAATGTGTCATTCCAAAACGGCAGGCTTTTGTAGTTTATATAGTTTAATGAAAAATGCCAATTATTATGCTATTTATTATTTTTTTTTATGAAAAAGTTTGCTCGTGAAAAAGAAGAAAAAATAAATATATCAAACCCTTTATATCCATAGAAAAAAAGGATGGATTTGATTTGACTTCTCGATTGAGAAGTGACAAAATCCGGGTGTAAACTACTATCCTAAGCTCTTGGTATTTTTTTTTATTTTATATTTTAACCAAACCCTATTAAAATATTTTCTGCTTAAATAATTTTATATGGTCTCTAACCGACTGTGTACATTTGTTTGTGAGTGTCATGAAAATGATGTGCCATATAAGCCAAGCAAAGTTACATTTTGGCTGAGTGGTCAATTCCAGCCAATGAGGTCCCGATTACTAAATCTTAAGATAACATTCAACATTTTGTTTCAAAAGAAGACAATATTTGTTTAGCCTTATATTATGATATTTCGTGCGGTGCGATTTTCTATCATTTAGATCGGTCCAATTGCAGTGGAAGGTTTAATTAATATGTTGAACCCAATTCGGTTGTCCCACAAGATCAATCAATTTATTCAGTCTTGGGGCGTTAGTAGTTTGATCAAGTGATTATTGTATTGTGTATATACATTTGAATTATTAGCCAAGTCCAATCGTATTTCAACTTGATTGTTAATAATTTAACTATGGTTTAGCAAAATATATACCTGCCATCCATGCGTTATGTGAATGTTTTTTCTTTTCTTTCCAAAAAAAGAAAAAGGTTATAATTTGATGATAATGTAAATGAAGCACGTGAAGTTTTTATTTTAAGCAACTATAATAAAACGATACAGGAAAGAGGAAATTTCAAGTGTATCCATCATTTTCAATATACATGCCTCAACTACTACTCGTTCGTTTAGCTGATTCGAGTTTAAAATTCGAGTTGAGATGTGATTTTATGTGAGAATTTTTTACTGTAGTAAAAAATTTAGATGTGACTGTTTGTGAGAGCTTTTTACTGTGGCAAAACTCGAATTCTAAATTCGAATCAGCGAAACGAACGAACCCTAAAACAAATAATAGTTTGTAATTAAGTACGTATTTGTGTTTTTCTTTTTTGTTTATTTCTTTGTCCTTAAAATAGATTAATCATTTGTTTCTCTCTCACCCATGAATGGTTTTATGCATGAAATCACACGAGAACATAGTTTGTTTTGATTGCAAATTCGGGTTGAATGTATTAATTTCTTTTTTTTTTTTTTCCGATGGAGATGACTCGATGACTTAATATGACACAATATACATAGCCTTGAATATGACATGTCTCTTTCGAGCATATTATAATATTTCCCGCCCTAAATTCCTGTACTTTTAACATCACAAATTCAAAGTAGTAAAGAGATAAGGAGGCTAGGCAAATTTAGCACAAAATTAATATTGTATCGGAGAATGATTTTTCCTATTTAAACGGTAAAATTTAACATTGGCAATTGGTACACTAATTGAACATTATATTGAAGATACAGTTAGGGCTCTATAAAGTCATTAACGTAACACATATACATAAGTGACGACAATCCTCATCACACAATAGCTAAAAAGAAGGCTTTCATTATTATAATTATTCGTCCCTAGACACTAGTAATTTTCACCAATACCAATCTTTTGATCATTCTTAGGTTTATAGAGCCCCAAAAACAAAAGAAATGAAAGACTATTCTATGGTTCAACCGTCACTAATAAAAAAAATTAAATAACTCGGGTATGATTAGAAATAACTATATTAACAATTTATTCATATATTTTACACTACTAGTTATTAGCATGCGCTCTGCGTGTGCATTTCTTATATTTTTTGAGTATTAAAATCTAAAATTTCCTCTAAATTTAGGCCTCATTCATTTCACCAATTCGAGTTTAGAATTTGAGTTTTACTACAGTAAAAAGCTGTTAGAAACAGTCACATCTAACTTTTTGTTACAGTAAAAAGCTTACATAAAGTCACATTTCAACTTGAATTAAAAACTCAAATCAACGAACTAAACGGACCCTTAGTTATACTTGTTTATTACTCTCCTAATAAATAGGTGAGAGAAAAAAAAGAAAAAAAAAGTAGATCACATTTAAAAAGGAAAAAAGAGAACACTAGACAGTAAATTATTTATGAGGTATTTGTAAAAAAGGTATTTGAGATGATTGTGTGACCAAAATGTTTAGGCAGGATACATCCACAAAAAATCAATTTGAGGAGAGTAATTAAGGAAAAACAACGGTTACTTTTGAAAAAAAAAAAAAAACGATTACAAGAAAAAATATTCCGGTAACTATGCATTTAAAAAGGATAGTTAGGGACATAAATGAACAAAAAAAATATTTTAAGAAAACAATTAGGGAGAAAAATAATTATAAATGTCATATTTAAAAGAAGAAAAAAGAAAAGAATGTATGGCGGAGAAAAAAAAAGTAAGATTAAATAAGGAGGAAGAGAGAAAAAAAAAAGGAGAAGACCAAGACTCCCAAATGCATAAAAAGCCAAGGGACGAAACGTTTCACACCCTCCCACACAGGAATGAAACGGAAATCGGCGTTCTCCACTTTTAATATAGTGAAGAAAATATATTTCTTCCTACTTAGTAGTTTGCCACTTGAAAATATTGAACATGGCTTGAATCGTAGGATGAAATGTGCCAACTATAAACAGACGTGATTATGACAGTAGTCTCTTATTATTTAATGAGCAAATCCTATTCAAATTGATTCTCAAATGTGCACTTAATCTAAAGTCTCATTCACTTCGCGGACTCGAGTTTTTAATTCGAGTTGAGATGTGACATTTTCTGAGAGTTTTTCAATGTAGCAAAAAAAGTTAGATGTGACATTTTCTGAAAGTTTTTTACTGTAGAAATTTAAAACTGAAAATTCGAATCGGTGAAATGAACGAGACATAAATAAACGATGTTTGACTTTTAATTAAAAAAAGAATACTTCCCAATCTAAATAGTTTGATAAAATAGAAGACTTATCATTGTTTTAAAACGTAAATTATTGGTTATTTATGAATTCCTTTGACAATGCTACAATGATAGTAGCTGGAAGTTGTATGTACTCATTAAAATCTGCCTGTTGGAGATTAAATAGAAAATGCCATTTGAACCTAAAACTAACTACTCAGTACGAAATTGGCTTCAAAATTGTCATGAATAGAAATAAGGTCCCCATTAATTAGTTGATCTACAAAAAAAAAGTTTATGGCAAAGATTATATTAAGATTTAAAAGTTGCTTATTGTGCTAATTCAATGCGAATATGAAATTGCATAGCCAAAGAGTTCGGCATATAGTAATTTAAAACTTTAAATAAAACAAGTCTTAGAATACCCGACATCAATTGATATATTACATAATTTTTATCTCATCATACAATTAATTTCTAACCGTTAAATTTAACTAAAATAACATATCCACACTTTTCCTGTTTAGAATTAGGTTTAATGTTCACGTGGTTTACGATTTTATACAAACGTGTTTTGAACAGTTTAGGGGGCTACCTTCTTTGACTATTCATTTATTGTTCCTCGCTGGCTAGTCACCTGCACCCACCGGCCATTTGTGGCATTTTCAATAAACATTCCCTGGCCTCTCCTCCCAATTTCCTGGTTCCACCTATTTCTTTCTCTTTCTCTTTTTATTTTATTTTATTTTTTGGGATTCAATTAATAAAAATAACTTTTGAAAACAATAAATAATATAACTTTTCGTCTGGGTTCAAATTATCAGGTTTTTGTCAAAATTCGTCACACTTGCATACTTTTTTTTATGATTGAGATGTAATTTGATGTTTAGTAATGCACTGTACTAAGAAGATACTCCACCGCAAAGTGTTATGATCAAACATATTATCTCCGAAAAATTGGGAGCGTGCCTCCCGTTTTCTTTTTATTTTTCAGCTTTTTTTTTTAAAAAAAAAAATTTCTTTAGCTTTTTTTTAAGTTTTTATTTTTATTTTCTTCTTTTTCATCCTTTTTTATTGGATATTTTAACATTTGATTTTTATATATTTTTAAATATATATCCTTTAAATATTTTTTTATGGTTATTTAAAATATTATTTTTTCTCTAATTACATATTACCTGTTAAATTATTTTATTCTCAAATATGTCCGTACATAAACATTTTTTACCTGTGTTCCTTATAAATTTAAGCTTTAATTGTGAAACATTTCGTACAAATTTTTTTCTTAAGTTTTTTTTCCCAGTCTTTTGTTTTAAATCTTTTTTTCCACCTTTGTTTTTATTCTTTTATCCTTTCTTTTTCTTTCTCTTTTTCTCTCTGGCAATTTGTATAACTGTTGTTTTAAATGAATCACAGTGCACGTGATTTTAACTAGTATGGTACCCCCAAAAAAAATCTCGTGAGTATAATATACCGTGCCATTTTAGATAGTCAAATTATTACCGTTTAAATTCCATTAATATTTAGAGAAAATTGTTGAATTTACCCTTAAAGTATATGAGTTTGGGTTTTTTTCTTACTCTTTATTAATATTTTTTTGACTAATAAAGTTATTTGACTAAAAAGAGTAATAATCAAGAACAAAAGATAAAAATTCAGACTCATGCTCTTTAAAAGAAATATGACTATTGGGATGATTAGCAGTAACAATGCTACAAAATTCCAATACGGTATTTTATTTACCACATAAATATTCTCCATTATATAAATCAAAGGTATTGATCATTAATAATCTATTAAGCTTACTTGAATTCTATATTTACTCTTAATGTTAGCCACTTACCACATGTACACTCATCAACCACATCATAACAAAGATGAGAAGTTAGAAGTTTTGGGCTGGAAAATTATTAGTCTAAAATAATTGTGTGATTATGATCTGTACCCACACCATTCTCAGGGTGGTTGAGCTATCTTTCCTCCCTGGGAACTACCCAAACATTAATTCCACGACTCTCAATCATCCCAAAAGCTTTCTTCCAAGTTGCATAATATATAGACTCCACGCCTTGTGCTCTCGCTTCTCCATTCTCATATTCCTCTCTCTTTCTCTTTCTCTTTCTCTTTCTATCTCTAAACCCAACCAACTATTTCCAGACGTGTAGGCCTTTGATTTCTCTCTCACCATTTGTTGGGTATGTATAGTTGAGCTTCCTGTACGCTCTGGAAAGTCCTTTTTTTTTTTTTTCCGTCTCTTTTTTATAAATTTCAACAATATCCCAAATACTAGCTCATACAGGAAGAAGATAAGAAAGAGAGAGAAAAATGGATAGTAGTAGTAATAGTATAGATATGGATAAGGAGAGGCTTACGGCGGAGATGGCTTTCAAAGACTCTTCCTCCGCCGTCATCAGAATCCGTCAACGGCTGCCGGACTTCCTTCAGTCCGTCAAGCTCAAGTACGTCAAACTCGGCTACGGCTATTCATGCAATCCCGCCACTATTATCATGACCCTTGTCCTCCTTCCTCTCTTATTCTCTATACTAATTCAGCTGACTGGTCTAGAGCTACACCGGGTTACTGAGCTCTGGACCAACCAAGCGGTTCGGCTCGAGAGCATCGATGCTGTCACTAGATTCGCCGGTTTCTCCGTTCTCCTTTTCCTATTCGGTCTGTACTGGGCTAAGCGGTCCAGACCGGTCTACCTCGTCGACTTTGCCTGCTACAAACCGGACGACGAGCGGAAAATGTCGGTCGAGTCGTTCCTGAACATGTCCGAAGAGAGCAGTTCGTTCACGGAGGAGACCCTCCAGTTCCAGAGGCGAATCTCGACCCGGTCCGGTCTAGGTGACGAGACGTATTTCCCGAGAGGAATCACCTCCAGACCTCCTCGGCTCAGCCTGGCCGAGGCCCGGTTCGAGGCCGAGTCGGTGATGTTCGGCGCGTTGGACGCTCTTTTCAAAAAAACCGGAGTTGAGCCGCGGGAAATCGGGATTCTCATCGTCAACTGCAGCCTCTTCGTCCCGACGCCGTCGCTGGCCTCCATGATCGTCAACCACTACAAGCTCCGAACCGACATTAAAAGCTTCAACCTCGGCGGAATGGGATGCAGCGCGGGACTAATCTCCATCGATCTCGCTAAAGACCTCCTCCGAGCAAACCCAAACTCCTACGCCGTCGTCGTCAGCACCGAGAACATCACCCAAAACTGGTACTTCGGCAACGACCGGTCGATGCTCCTCTGCAACTGCATATTCCGCATGGGCGGCGGCGCCGTCCTCCTCTCGAACCGGTCACGTGACCGTTCACGCTCCAAGTACGAGCTCGTACACACCGTACGGACGCACAAAGGCGCCGACGACAGAAACTACAACTGCGTCTTCCAAAGAGAAGACGACAAAGGAACTGTCGGCGTGTCGCTGGCGCGTGAGCTGATGGCAGTGGCCGGCGACGCGCTGAAGACGAACATAACCACCCTTGGCCCACTGGTGTTGCCGCTTTCGGAGCAGTTCCTGTTCTTCGTGACGCTGATACGGCGGAAGTTGTTCAACAACTCGAAGGTGAAGCCGTACATTCCGGACTTCAAGCTGGCGTTCGAGCATTTTTGCATCCACGCCGGCGGGAGGGCGGTGCTGGACGAGTTGCAGAAGAATCTTCAACTCAGTGAGTGGCACATGGAGCCCTCGAGGATGACGCTCCACCGCTTCGGGAACACGTCGAGCAGTTCTCTCTGGTACGAGCTCGCCTACACGGAGGCGAAGGGTCGGGTCGGGAGAGGGGACCGGGTCTGGCAGATTGCTTTCGGGTCGGGTTTCAAGTGCAACAGCGCCGTTTGGAAGGCGCTCAGGGAAGTTCCTGTCGGAGAGTTCCTCGGAAACCCGTGGAATGACTGTATTGATCGGTACCCAGTTAAAGTGCCAACTGCCTAATTTTTGGGGGGTTTGTACACGTGGCGGGGTGTTATTTGTTGGCGGTGTCCACGAGGAAAAAGTGTTTTGTTGTTGGGACTTTCTCCGTTTTATCATACTCAAATTTAATATATATATAATTATAAATATTAGTTTTTTTTTTTATTTTTTTATTTTTTATTATTAGTTATGGAATGTATGGATGGAGAACGATGTTATCGTGTTGAAAGAGCAATGGTATACATCGTTATTCGTTTTTAACTGGGACAGATAACTGTAGGATTTTCTCTCAATTTATTGCATTATCTTCGGCTTTTGGAAGTTTTACTTTTTATCTTTGAGAATAGTAAGGAATGATTCTTGAACATTTACGAGAAAGAAATTTTGTCTTGTGTCAAAATTTCAAAGACAACTTGTCAATTTACAGAAATTTTAGGAGACAAACGCACTAAATACCAGAAAAAAAAAAAATCAAACCATCCTTTAACTAATCACAAGTCCATGCATGCCTAATTGCAAACTTGAAAATTATTTAATATCACTCGAATTGATATATAATTAACAGTCCTGTATGAAATATGAATACACAGAAATTATTCGCAGAAGCATTATCGCCAACGTCTAGTTAGAAGATCCCAGCAGATCCACGTACAAATGACTCCTAAAAAATATGTAAAAATTGAAGATGTTTTTTTTCATCATTAGTCTACTTTGCGATGTCAATATCAAATTTCCATCGTTTCACATTATTTGTCAATAATCACTTCAAAGTTGTCAATGAGAGAAGTACTGGCGTCCGTTCGGTTCATTAATTTAAATTTTTAATTTGAGTTGAGATGTGATATTATGTGAGAGTTTTTTACTATAGCAAAAAAGTTAAATCTGACTGTTACTGAGAGCTTTTTACTGTAACAAAACTCGAATCAGCAAAAAGAACGGGATATATATAGTGGACGGAAATAGACTGTTGCTGCCTGTCTTGCCACTGGGAGGACCCCAGCCTCCACGGAAGAAGAAGCAACGGATCAAAAGGAGGAAGAAGAAGCAACTGGAAAAGCCCCACTGCCTTTTGGATGGACCATTACTTCCATTAATTTGTCACCATTTGTATTATTTTACTTGGGAGACCTCTATTATAAAACTACGTGATATTATTTTAAACCGTTAAATTATATCAGAATATTGTAAGAATAAAAAAATAAGATAATTTAATAGAGTTTGATAAATATTTGATGGTTTACAATTATATTTTGCTGATTGTAAGGTATATTTTTTTTTCTTTACTCTGTTATAAAACTCTCATTCTACATGAAACTTAACAGTATTTCCTAAAATAAAAAAATAAAAAAAAACTTAGCAGTATTAAGCTTTCAAAAAAAAAAAAAAACCAGTGTTAATGTAATGACCGGAAAAATTTTAGGTCTAATCTGGAGACAGTCCAGTATTTGACCGAAATTTTTTCCGGAATAGTAAGTAGTAGAATTTTGATGTAATCAAGAAAATGTTATGTAAAAACTTTATGTACGGGGTAAAATCTCCCGAAAAGTATAAAGTTGTAATACGAATATTTTTATAAAGAAAATTCGTAAATATCACTTATGAATAGTGAGATATTAGTTAAAAGTTAGAAATTTTAGCGAGTATATTTAAGTTATGAAAAACTAAAATATTTGGTATGTGACTAAATGATCAGCTGGAAAAAGAATAGAAATATTAGAAGTAAGGAAAATAGCAAAAGTTTCTGAAACAGAATTTTTCTGAGTCAGTTTAAGCAGGAAACTGCTAAAAAAGAGTACCGCAAGGATACGCGTTTGGGGCAATTCTGAATCAATTAAAATGATAATTTCAGAAAAAGAAATTGACCAATGAGATACCCAAGAGAAATGGGTTGAATATGAGAAATTTGACTCAGGGTGCTCGGCAGTCTAGAAAAGCAGTATAGAATCTGTACCGGGTGTGAAATTATCAGTACCGGAAAGAAATTCGTTTTGAAAAACGGAAAGTTAGGTCTCGACAAGAAAAATGTGAGGAACATAGAACCACTCAAATTAAGGGTTAAACTTAAGTAGAACTAGTAAAATTAAATTATAAAAATTAAATTAATTTCTTTAATTTAATTTAAAAAGTAATATTAAAATAATATTATAATATTCATTAATGTCTTTGAAAGAGTCCCACGGAGACATTAGAAGCTACTTTTGTCTTCTTTGCCTAAGTGTGGCCGACTAAGAAAAAAAGGAGAAAAGCCAAGTTTTATATATATATATATATATATATATATAATCCTTTCCATGTACGTTAGTACGTTTTTTTTTTTAAACAAAAAAAAAAGTAAAAAAATGATTGTTACTGTGAGGTGGATTAAACCTCACATGCAGATGTAACACTTGGCGTTGTTATACACTTAAGCTCATTCAACTTGGTGACTCACGTTAAACGTGATAACTCAAGTTGTAAAAAAAAAACAACACATAGGCTTACTAATGCCATTAATGTAAGGCATAGCAGAGATTAAAAAAAAAAAAAAAAAAGAGACGTGAGAAAGTTACGAAGAAAGAAAAAAAAACAAAGCAGAAAGAGAGAACGTAATGAAGATTCACGTTGGTTACAAGGATATTACTTCAACGTGAAGCATAACAGAGGAGAGTTTTGAAAAAAAACGTGAGAAAGTGACGAAGAAAAAAAAACAGAGCGTTGTTAGAGAGAGACAGAGAAAGGAAAATTAAGCATTTTCATTGAGATTTCTACCGTTTAGTCCGGTAGAAACGTGACCTGAGGCGTTCTAACGGAGAAACCTCAACTTCTGGAGGTAAGATTTTAGAGTTTTTGTGAGAATTCTATATTTTCTTGATTTAGATGAATAGTACCCCATCTCAGAAAAACTTCTGTTAAAGTGAAAATTGAAACTGAGGTTTTGTAGAGTATCGTAGTAAGAGTTTAACGGTGTAAGTGTTAAGACGATTGAATAAAGTTTTGGTGGATTTCTATCGAAAATCCGTGAGCCTAGATTAAGAAAGAACATATGTTTTGTTCAATTTTATGTAGGAATCTGTGTTCAGGAATGTAAATCTTGACTCCAGGTACCGAAATCAGAAGTAAAACGAGTTATTAAAAACTCGGGAAACAAGAAAAATAAGGCGAAACTCTGCCAAAATTTAGTTCGAGTAATTTAAACTAAAACTGGATTTCAAGAGGAATATAGGATTAAAGTGTGAAAAGAAAGATGTTTCGATAATCGGTGATGGTTAGAAACCGAACACAACGAGAATTCACAGTTTTAGACAAAAATGAAAATTAGGCCCATGACTGAGTAATTTGCACGATTTTAGTGCAAATCCTTGAGATAGGAAATAGTTTGAGATTGAATATCAAACATAAGGATTGTAGACCTTTCCGAAGTAAATTTCAAAGTAATTATTGATCTTAAATTCTGAATCTAACGATCGAAAAATTTATGCAATAGGGCCGATTAACGGTTGAAGTTGGAAAGCGTCAAGGGAGACAAAGGACGCGTTGTTAGCGAAACTTTGGTAAGTACAATAGTTTTTCTATGGCTATATCACGAACAAGCTTACTTTTTTATGTTGCACAAAAATTGTGCATATAGTATAATTTTGAATGTTAGATACTATGTTAGGTAAGTATCTACAAGACTTATGTAATCGTAGAACTTTATTCTACAAAAATATGTATCGATGTTAGGTCGAGATCAAACTAAGAAAAGTGAAATGTTAAAGTTTAACGAAAAGTTAATCTCATGATAAAATGCTCAATAATGCACAAATTCATAAGATTTAACTAAAGTTACCGTTTCAATGAGAAAATTGATAAACGGTAAGAGACCAAACGTCCTGTTTGTACCAGCCTTCGAAGGAAAGGTTATTATGAGACTATGAAAGATATGAAACCGTGACTGAGTTGGATTGGTTAGCTACCCCACTCCTCACTGGTTATGCGCGCTATGGTACAACAGGACAGGGCCCCTAAGAAGTAAAAGACAAGAAAATGAAACACGGAAACCATTCCATATAACGATATGGTATCCGTAAACAATAATGAAAAGAATGAGAAATATAGAATGAAAGTCGTTTAGAATTTTGTACTAGGTTATATGATATGAATGCATTTATGGGTATGTATAATTATTGCATCTGTTATGACCTATTGATACTTGCTGAGCAAAAGCTCATTAAGTTTGTTCGTGTTATAGGAAGCACGGGTAAGGCACCGGCTCCCTAAAACTTGATGCTGGGCATGCAGAGAGGGTGTAGCAACGGAATGTGGGCAAGTGGGTTGTGGACACACCATGTGTTTTGGAAACGCTGCTGAACTTTATATGTAAAATAAAATAGTGTTTTATGTATTTGATGACTAGTGTAATAGAATGTTGTCAGAATGCTACAACATTTTAACGTACATGGTAAGATTAAAAAAAAAATGGCCTGAAATTTTAAGAAATTATAATTAGGGTCGTCATAGAGGTTAAAAAATGCTAAATATGAGTATAGAATGACGATCAAAAGTTATGGTCGTCACAATTAACGAGCTTAGAAAAGTACTAATCATTAATTCCTTTCTTTAATTGAACGGTAAACCAATCAAAATTTAATATACCAATCCCCTTTTGAGGAATATGCTTCTTTGCAATCGAAAAGAACATACGAGGTTAAATACCTAGTCATAACAAAAACGCAAATTCTTAGTTAAGCATAGAATCCGTAACAATAGAACTTGGCATTATCTTTTACTTATGCTCTAGAGAATGTATTCCTTTATCTTCTATAGTATGTCATCTGTAAAATGCTGGATGAAAGAAACTTTGAAAATGTTCGTTTCCTGTTAAAATTAAAGTTCTTGTATATATAGAAGGCTTGACCATCTCCAATACAAATATTAATGTTAATTATATATTTAATATTAAAAAATATGATATGATATGTTATTTTTATTTTTACTCTAATAGATAATGTTATTTTAAATGTTGAATCTACGTTTTTCTACAGTCATTAAGCTTTGAAAGTTGTAAAAGTAACTTTTTATTTTTAAAATAATTAAAAAATGTAAAAGTTGCAATAATTACATGAAAAAATAAACATTCAAACCAATAACAATCAAATATCAAATATTATGCTATACTTGGTAGGATATTTGCCACAAAGTATATCATATGAGAAATTTAACACAATAAATAGCATTGCATTAGAAAGTATTTTCTGCACTCAAATGCTAAATTTACATTTAGCATATCAATTATAGCATTGCATTGAAAATGCTCACAATGTTGATGCCTCTAGCTATTTCTACTGCCTCGGTTAAACTTA